ATTATGATTCACGTGTTTTATTGGATAAAACTGTGTTGTATTTCAAGTTATAGAGGTTTGAAAAATTAGCTACAGGAAAAAAATCTGATGATATTCTGTGTAAAAGTAGAACAATACACTCTGTCCATCATGGCTCCTGTTTAGAAACCAGTAGCTCTTCCCAAGAGTAGATGGAACACGAGCAGTCTTGAAGAGGAAGAAGAGGAGGAAGAGGGAGCCGAGGAAGAAGAACAAGAAGATGATTATGAAGAAGAGGAGGAGAAAGAAGATGATGATGATGAAAATAAGAATTTCAGAATAAAACAAATAACACAGCGACAGCAAAAGCTAGAAAAGATGGCATTTGTCCCACCAGGGACAAAGACAGAGGAGAGAAAGGCTGTGTCTAAAGGAAGGGGAGCCACGGAGAAGGTATATGTGGTCCTAGACATGGAGACTAGTGGTTGTTGGTGTAAATACAAGCTAGAACCCTGGAATCTCTCCACAATTACTGTGGTAGATGGCAGAACTTTAGCATTAGAGGACTATAGTGTGCTGATATTCTATAGATTATGTGTTGTGTGTGCAGAACTGGTCTCTTATTAGTTCATCCTATGATCTTAGTAGAGCACACACTACAGTTAGCTATAGTAGTTTTTGACCACACCAAAAGTGTTTACTTAGTCCTTTTTTAAAACCTCATAAGTTTTTTGCACCAAATGATCAGCAGACTGCACACAAGATTGCACCATTGCCATCTGCTGGCAGCTTATCTAAATTAATTTGAAAAGTTGAGCAGTGAGGCCCCGTCCATACGAAGCCAAACCCTGGCCTAAACGCACAAATTTTTCACCAATGCATATGGTATGCATTCTTGCTGATTCACAAAGCGTGACAGATTTGTAAAAAGGTTTGCTTTGTTTTCCAACAATTATAGCAAAAATTAAAGGAGAGAAATAACATATAATAAGCCAACAGGACAAACCTTTGTATGCATCAGAGTGAGCCTCTGGTGTAGAAATTCAGGTCATAGAACGTGACTACAGCCCTTTGAGTAAAAGCACAGGGAGGACAGCATCTGTGCTAAAATACTTTATGCATCAAAATAATGAAATGCTACCACTATTTATACAAAATGTATTTATAGGCAACAGAATGGAGGAAGTAAGCGAAAGAACCACATTTTTAAATAAGTGTTTTCTTGAACATAATACTCACCAAAGAGTACTTCAAGCTGAATGTAAACATCACCGCTACAGAAAAAACAGACTAAACTGACTGTTGCAAACTGAAACTGTGTTGTGACAAATCCAGAATATAAACAAACAAGATTTTCCCAATAGCCAGAGGATTTTAGTACAACCTGTTGGAACAATCTATATTTTTTAGGGTTATTTTTTTCAACAAAACTAAAACGTAGACCAGTTTCATTGTTGCATAATTCATCAATCCATATCTTTTGACTGCTAATCCATTATTAATAAAATACTACCTAATCTCATTCAGTTCTGTACTGACGATTTTTTGCCAAATAAAAATATTAAAGTTATCTTTATACATGTAAATAGGTATGTAAACAAATTTCAAACCCCCTCAAAATATCAAATTTATAAAGGCACAAAGCTAACTAATTTTCTCCTGCAGATTTTTTTGTTGTTTTTTTGTTTTGTTTATGTAACATGATTAACAGCATAGAGATATATCCTCCCTGGGCATTAGTAATACACCCCAGTAAATAATACAGGATTAACTGTTTTAAACCAACAAGCTTCATTAAAGATGCAAACTAGCTGAAGCTTTGGAAACTAAGAAGAGATTTTCCTGAAGCCACATCTTAGTGTCGCAGGACCAAAGTTTCTGTCAACACAGATAGTGAGAGCATGCATCCACTGTTTAGCCCTGTGTTGTTGGAACGTCCTCAGGGCCTTACACAGAAATAGTCTCACTGTTTCTGTCTCTAGCCTCCACCCCCCACTACCTCACAGGAAAGCCTGCAGTTCTGTGTTTACCCCACTTTCTAACAGACTGCCAGACTCTCTTTATTCATTAATGCCTGTCTGTCTCCCTCCTGCAGATCCTTTCAGTTAGTCAACCCAATTATGCCTCTAAAATTCTATTTCTGTCTTGGCTGCAAATTCAGAGTTACTGGAATATTCATGTGTCACTCTGACTGGAAACTGTATGTCACTTCTGAACCTTTAATCTACCTTTTTCCTCGCTGTATTTACTCTACCCTTCCTGTCATTCACTCTCTGCCACCTCTCTCAGTTACAGGCTCCCAGTGTGAAAGGCTTTGATTTTGCCAAGCTCCATCTTGGCCAACAGAGTAAAGATGATGTCATGGTGATCCAGGAGCCCGCCCCACCATGCTCTGGCTCCGGTCCTCTCGCTCAGTCCATTAAAGATGGCCTCAGTCCATGTGAGAACGGCGAGGCCCCCACGCCCAAATCCAAAACCTCTGCCTCCTCCACCAAGGCGTCCCGCAGCAGCCGAAGGCAAGAAAGGTCAGTGCTGCAGGAGTTAGAGAGGATGGAAGGGTAGTAATAGCTGGATCTTGGTGTCAGAGCTGAGTGAAGATAAACATTTTCTAGATTTTAGATTCAGGTCCTTTTAACCATAACCCGCTGATTTAAAAACGTCTGCAGCAGGTTCTTAACTGCAGGTTAGTCGATTTACCTACGGTATGACGGTCTGTGTTTTTCTGACAGATTTAAACTTGTTCATAGACCTATTTGATGCAGATTTGATCAAGAGTTTAGTTTTATTGCTACTTAAAATGGCTCAAACCTCAGACAGAAAAGATGAGGACGTCCATACTTGGCCTGTTGAAGGACGTTTGTCCTGTTTTGACCTTAAACTTAAAGGGAGAGTGATGTCCAACGTTCTGTCTGAGGCATTCCAGTGTGATCAAACAGGTGGAGAGAGTATTGGCTGTACAATCTGAATCTTGTGGGTTTGATTCTGCAACATGATGATGTGCTCCTGAGCACAGCTCCTGACTTATCTATTTGTGTGAGCGTGACTAGTTATATGAGGCTTTTGTGTTCAGTGGTTGATATGACTAGAAAAGTTCTATATGCATTATTTTTTTTGGGGGGTGAAACAAAAAGGCAACCTCCTTTTCTGTTGTTGATGTTTTTAATGATGAGGAAGATCCTCCACACATGTTGATCGCACATCAGAGCCAATTCATGTCTGCCTGATTTATTCATCCTTTTTTTACAGTTACAATTTTTAGTTATAATTAAAAAAAATACTGTAAATCATAATATTAAGGACGGATTAAGTGAATTTGTTTTAAATCTATCAGGAGAATTCCTCATAGCTCTGAATCATCAGTGGAAATATTAATCCGTTATGTTTTGTTAGTCTCCTTCCAGCTCATATGTTTCTGGAAGACCTTGTTTTTTTGATTATGCATGGTGATAAAGCACATTGGTGTTGTCTTCCATTATTTATGTAGCTGTGTGTGATTTCTGGGCAGGGTCTCCCCATCAGACGGTGACTCAGTGGTGAGTGACCGCTCCATTGAACGGGAATTGGCTGAGGACAACCTGAGAGGCCAGGCCACGCCCAGCGACAGCAAGCAGATCCGTAAGCCTCCCATCAATGTTTTAAATGGCAAGTAGCCATGGCAACACTTAACAACAGTTCTCCAAACCTGGAGGCGGAAAAATTTAGGGAGAGGGGTGGAGGAAAACTGAGCAAAATTGGACTGATAAGGAGAAAAGAAGGAACAGCTAAAGCTGGCAGGACCAAGAAGAAGGCCAGACTGAGGGCAGAGATGAAAAGGATGCAGAAAAACAAAAGATGTTGTTTGGTTTCTGTTTGTGATCTAAAAGGGAATCTGAAGTTACTTTATCTGACAGCTTGTTGATTGATTCAAGCTTGCTTTGTCATTCAGAGTGTTTGGGAGCCGGAATCAGCCAAACAGAAGACAGGCTGAGTCACCCACAGAGGAGAGCTCTCTGTTGTGTTATGGCTCAAATCCTGGCTGGGACGATGTGTGCGCTTCACTGGGTTTATAATTAGAAAGTGTATGAAGCTGATGTGTGACTCCTCTCTCTGTAATCATGGTATTTCCTGCTTCTCAGAACTGCTTTTACATATAAACTAATTAGAGGCAAAGAAAGATTTTATTAAGTCTGAAAACTTTATTTCTGTGGGTCATGGTAGACTAATTCTACGCTTTTCTTTTAACCAATGCGTAAAGTCAATCTTTAACCTTACTTAATTTGTTTTATCTCATAAAGACTCTTTTTTTCCTTTCTGATATATGGTCTGCAGGCAAAAATAGAATCGGTAAGAGCTGGTCCTCTTTCTCTCTGTTTTGCCCCATAGACCCAAGGCTTGACCTCCTGCAGCTGTGTCTGTGTGTTCCCTGTTTGCTGCTTTAGCTGTCATTGTGTTCTGCTAATTCCCACCATCCATCACTGTCTGCTGGGCTGTCAGTCACCGCCAAGAAACCATAGGCCTCTCTAGAAAAAGTCAAAACATTTGTCCTAAATTAAGTTTAGCTCTTGCAGATGGAAATCTATGTTCATTCATGTTGCCACTGCCAACATTTGTCATTGCTAAGTTTTGTTAGAAAGTCGTGCTTTAATTATTGTTCGGACAGTTTGATATTTGACACTCCTGTAGCTAGCATAGCTCATGTTTTCATACTTTTATGTTTTCATTTCTTTCTTTTCTTCAGGTCCACCTCCTACAAATAGCTCCGCAAACGAGCCGCCGTCCTCAGCCTCCATCTTCGAGCATGTCGATCGGATGTCTCGCACCACAGATGCTAGCCGCAGGCTCCCTAACAAAGTGCAGCTCATCGCCATGCAGCCTATGCCAGTCCCACCGCTGCGCAGCCCTCCTGTCAGCAGCAAGACTTCTGATCCAAACCAAATCAACAAAGAGGTGATGACATAAATTCATCTAATAGAAGATTATTCTCTGCTAGTTAGGCATAGTTCACTCTGCCTCCCCTGTTTATTATCATCTAGATATAGATGTTAAACCTAAGTACATATGGTAATACTTTTTTGGTAAAATTGGTATTGCAAATAAAAAAAACTAAAAAAAACAAGGAATCACCTTCAGTTTCTATTATGACACAAAGTATATTAATTAATACTGATGTTACGTTTGTACTTTGCATCAAACTAGCTACATTTATATGCGAAAACAAAATTTTCCCTGATCTGATTTAAACCTTGGTTGACTGGAAATTGAAATCTCTGTTTACATGGACACTGAATAAAATTATCTGATCACTAACAAGCAAAAAGTCTTAATTTTACAAAAATGCTTTAAGAGTAGAAGATGAAACTGCGTGTTGTACCTATCCGCTCGTCCTTTAACTTTAGCTGCTCTTTGTCCCTGCCACTTGTATTTCTTTTTCTTCAGTACTTAAGTCGTGTCTGTTTATGTTGTTTTTTTCTTTCCATTATGGACCTTCATTGCTTTTTTGTATCCATACTTTTGATTTTGTTGCTCATTTTAATTAAGTTAAGGGCTTAGGAGTACCTTATGCTAATGCTCGTTAGCTACGGGAGTAGAAGGCAGAATGGCATTTTCATCAGCACATTACATTTACAGCCACCTGCTCCACCAAAGGCCAAGAGAATGTGGATCAAGGTTAGGAGTGAAGAGTCAAATGTCATGCTGATATTGCACACATGCGCATTGGAGATTATTTTACTCCAAAGATCCTAAAGGGTGTTTACTTGGAGGCCAATCCGATTGGCAATCGGAAAAAAAAAAAAACAGAAAAAAAATCTCTTTTGAAATGAAATTTGTTTCAGATCGGATTAAAATCTTCAGTCCACCTTGTTTGGATGAAACATTTTGATTTTTGTGTCCATGTAATCTTAGCTAGTGTCTACTAGGCAAATAGGAATACATGTCATATTCAACATGTGAAGCACTCACACTGTCAGATGAGTTAAACAGCAGTCCCCCATCAACAGTCGCATTTCTTTGTCCCATTCTAAATTTTACAGGCTTTCAATTTCTGTATAAATTCAGTTCTCCTGTGAAAACCTTGAGTTTCCTTAGGAAAAAGAGAGCAGGCACCTACAGTTTCTTAATAACTTACAGTTTCTGCTAAATTATGTTGTCTGCCACATATAATCTCAATAAAATTGACTGGAGATTTCGTATGTGTCCAAACCTTGCTGTCAGATCCAGGCAGCTTTGAGGCACAAGTCAGAGATTGAACATCATCGTAACAAGATCCGTCTGCGTGCCAAGAGGAAAGGCCACTATGATTTCCCTGCAATGGATGACATGATCAGCAGCCTCGGCGACGCAAAGGAGCAGGATCGCATCTACCAAAAGGCTCAGACTCAAATAGATAAGATTCTGGATCCAGATAATCCAGTTCCCTCCATTTTCATGGAGTCCAAGAAAAGGTTTGAGCTCGTCGGTTCACTATTTGAATATTCCCTTTGACATTATAGTTTTCAGATTCAGCTGAAGTAAAATAAAGCAGTCTAAAACATGTTGACTCTGTTCCTTTGCCTCCACAGCGGCCGCGGGCGGCGCTCTCCAAAGCAGAGACTGAGGGAACAGCTGAATGGAGGCATGATGGAAGCAGACAAAGACCACCTCATCACTGAGGATGGCGACGCAGTCTACAGGAGGTGCCCTGGGGTCAACAACGTAGCGTATGTGGTGAGTAGCAACAGCAGATCAACATCAACAGCCCAAGAACTGCCAGACATTCAAATTGTCCTGTACTCTGAATCCAGTCGGACCCTGACCAAGGCCCTGGCTCCCCTCTGAGGAGCCCCTCCCCCACTGATGATGTCTTCCTCGGCCCAGCTTCCTCCCCTCCAGGCCAAGCCCCTCCCCCACCCCCCTACATGCCTCCACAGCCCTCCATAGAGGAGGCACGGCAACAGATGCACTCCCTGCTGGATGATGCCTTTGCTCTGGTGTCGCCCACGTCTCAGAGCAGCACAGCAGGGATCACCCTGCCAGGGGTCATCAGCAACCCTCAGGGCACCAGCCCTCCAGGCCGGGGCCCCAAAGCATGGGGCCCCTCCTACCAAGCTCTTGGTCCTTTTCCTGGTGTAAGTATTCAGATGTTAATCAGCTACTTTGACATACTGTTGATATCACTTTTATTATAGTGCATCTCTTTTAGTAATTATTGCTTTTTGGTTCTGAATACATTTTATTCCATCACCAATTTAGTTTTCCTACACTTTTGGTTTGTTTTCAACAACTTTAATCATTATTCTCGTCTTTCTTTTTTTTCTGCTGAGTATTAACCTTTCTACCAGTTGTTATATTAAAAGGGCATTTTTATATTAGTTTTATTAATTAGTTTATCATATTTTTTTCTTTCTACTCTTTCAGTTGTTTTGCTCTTATCATTTTTTTTGCTCCTTTTAAATACTTTTTCTCTAAAAAGTCCTTCAAACCCAAACAACTTCAGAGCTTAATTTTCTCGTTTTATATCCTAACCATCTCGCCGCATCCGCTCTGCTGACGATCTTTGCTGATAGATTAGTTTGCAGACAAACATTTGCTTCATTTCTCTGTGTTTGGAAATATTTTTACTTGTAAATGGACCTATTTGGTTCTAATCAGAGAACTCAATCAAATAGTAGTTCTGCTTAAAGAACAATATTCTGAACAAAGTCAAGACTTTGATGACATTGTTCTGCACTCAGCTCTCTCCTGCAATACTATTGGTTGAGCATTCCATGATGCCTTCTTTTCTTTCAGACAAACATCTCACCAACCAAATGTAATAACACTAAATACTTTCCTTTTTCTAAATGTAAATAAAATACCTTAATATCAAATTTACATACTCAGTCACATGTGAATGAACAACTTATTCTGTGACTGTGAGTCTGAAAAGGAGTATGATGAAGTTTAACTTCAGTTTCCATTAATTAATTTATACCATAAATAGTCTTCTTGTTTCCGGTATCCTTTTCAAAATGATATTTTTCTCTCATATATATTTCAATTGTTATACAATCAAAATGATATCTAATCACATTAATCATGGTTTCAATTATATTATATCTAAGACTGAAATGTATAATGGAAAATGTATTTTCTGCTTTATATGTTGAGTTGTATTGCTGAGTCGAGTAGTAGCCACAGATGTTCATAATGTTAGAGAAGATGTTATTTTCTGGATCCAAAACCTTTTCCTTTTTTAGACTTTTATATTCAGTGTAGTCAAATGTTCAGTTCCAGGTGATCAACATCAGATAGAGTTAGTGTCAATTTTATGTCCATAGTTAATGAAAACAAAGTATTATTTAATTGAGACATTGGGATTGTGTGTCATGTGCCACTAAGAAGAAGGGTCTGATTGTTTTGTCTTTTGGTTTGGGTTTAAAGTCGGGTCCGGACCTTTGGGAAATTCTGTGTGCTGTGTAGCGATATTATATTGGATATTTGCATAAAAACGGTTTGCAGATAAAGGCTACAGTATGATCTATTTGGTAAAGAGAGGCAGACAGATTATGATTTAAATGTCCTGCTCACCATACGCTAACCCTCCCTTTCTTTCACAACACGAAGCCGACAGCTTCCACTGAACTGGTTTCTTCTTAGCAAACTAATTGGTTAAGCATTCCTCCATCTGTTGCTCCCAGGCAGCTCCAACCTACAGTAACAGCCCTTATCAGCTATATAAAGTCTACCTCCTAAGACCCTACAGCTTTACAGACTTTATTTCCCTCATATCTGCATATATATATATATATATACATATATATATACCGGTATATATATATATATATATATATATATCAAGTTCTGTAAAAATTCCTACTGTTGCTGTATGCTAAATCTCAATTTTAGAGTATGGTTTTTTACAAACTTATTTGTACAGTTTTATGTTATTGTTGAAACAGCTGAGAGACGAAGTTATCTGGCCGGCAAACCTTATATCCACATATCATTGGAATCCTATTCAGGGTTAAGGATCACAGCTGGAATGAGATACAATAACAGGACATGTTGTAAGGGGTTACTGGAAACCTAAACACTGATTAATCTGTCACATTCACATAATGAGTGTCATAGCTACACAGACTTCCCTATTAAATCTGTCCTTGAAGGCAATGCTTTAGATACTACTTTAAACATATCTGCTTTTGTTTTTTTAAGTTAAACTCTAATGTTCTGAATAATCAACTATCAGCTCTGTGACTACAGAAATGATTCACTGTAATAACATGCTCTAAAAGGGACGATTCAAACAGAGCTAAACTTTGATTCTTTTAAATAAGTGAGGCAAAGAGGTATACAGAGATCTGTGGCTGATGCCAGATAATAATGCAGAATACATCTTTTACAGAGGGTGTCCACTCCATCTGTGCTTATCAGTAGACTATGTCTCACTATTTTGGGGTCAGATAGGTTTTATAAATGAGCTGCAATTTCTAATCGACTCACAGGTGTTTTATTATAAAACCCAGTCTCAATGAGAAAAACTTTTCAGACGTTATGTGTCTTTAAACTGCACAGTATATTTTTTATTCCAACCCATTTCCCTCAACAGTTAAAACAAAACCTTAGGTTTTTCTAACTTTGTGACAATAATTAAGATGATTATTCAATGCAGTTTATTTCTATAGCACCAATTTTACAACACATGTCACCTGAAGGGACTTTAGAGACAATTCAACCAGATCAGACAGTCCAATTGGTTCAGTGTGTCAGTTTTCACTATAAGGAAAACCAGACCTCTCACACCAAGCATGCATGAAGCGACAGAAGAGAAGAAAAACTCCCTTTTAACAGGAGGAAACCTCCAGCAGAACCAGGCTCAGTGTGAGCAGCCATCTGCCGAGGCCGACTGGGGTTCAGGGAGATGTTCCAATCCCAAAGTTGGTCATGCTCAAACAATTATGATATTCGATGTAGAATAAAAAAACATTAGAACTTCTACCTCATAGCATTATATTATAAAAAGGAAAAGTTATAATCATACATACCTGTTACCGTATATTTAATGTAAAGCATGTAATATTAGCTAGTGTAAAATTTTTTCAAGCAACATAGATTATACCTTACAAGTAACAGACAAAAATAACCTGTAGATCTCAAAGTGCGAAGCCATTCCCTCGTCTAAAGAAATACATCAACATGTGAGAAACAAAGTCACCAATTAGAAATATAAGAATTTCTATGAAATCAAAGGACCCCCACCAAGAAAGAACAAAATCACACACTGTTTTTGAGTTTTACAAAAACGAGAAAGTTCAGATTTAATCTTTAATTCAATGCTTTTTGCTGCTGCTGAACTGCAGAAAGAAAGCAGACCAACCATATCTCACTTCAACACAGAATAAAACTGACGGCTTTTCAGGATCCATAAGTAGGAGAAGAGTTAATGCTCCATAAAATACAGATATCTTCTCTGGATTTATTGTCCTGTATGGATCTGCTACGTTCCGACAGCAGGATGTTTGTCGTCTATTTCAGACTAATGACTCTCAGATGACATGTTTTCTTCTTCTAGAGAATCACTGAGCTGGGCGTGTCCTCTGCTGCTGTCCCAGGCCTGACCCCAAGGTGAGCAGGAACCCAGTGGTTGATGTACAATCATATACTAACTTAGAACATTTAAATTCACCTCTTTCTCAATTTATCAAAAGGATGTCTTCGGGATAGTTCCAGTGAAATTTACTCACCTCTTTCCTAGTATGTATGTTTTCCTTTTGGTGCAGCAAAGCAAAACATTTATGAGAGGTAGGAGCTCAGGTCCCTTATAAATAATGAAAAGCAAGTCTTTTTAAATAAATCTGTTTAATGGAACCGGTCTGAGCAAAGGTCATAAGGACACACACTTGTTTTAGAACACAGCAATGGGTTCAAACTTCTGTGTTTGCAATTAATTTTGTTTTGCAGCCTTTTTTAATGCAAAAATGTTACATTTGGGTTATAGTTTCTATGAGTCCATTTTCAGGGTTGTTGTTTCGCATCTTTATTGCTTTCACATCCAGGAAATAGATTATTGCAACTAATGAATTATTCTCTTTGTGTTTCACAGGCTAGGCCTTGGCTCCAGCTACCTGTCACCAGGAGAGGCAGCAGGCCACAGCGAGTCCCTCCAACCAGACAGCTTGTACTCCGGCAGGGGCCTCTACGCCAAAGAGCTGCCCTCGTCTGCCAGGCCACGCCCAGTAGGGGGAACTACAGGTACGGGGAAAGGTTTGGAAACAACACGCATGCTCCGCGGGTCATCAATTACTTATGTTGTTGCGAATTTAAAACTTTGTAGAAATGTCTGTTTTTATCAGTATCTCAAGGTCATGGCTGCATCAGGTGAAGATGTTTGAAAACCTTTCAGATAAATGTATGTTTCATTGCTGCAGCGTAATCTTTCAGAGAAAGGCTTCATTTCAGTATTTGTTTATTACCCAAGTCTTTTTTTATTTCAATTTGAAATATCAACATAAAACATAAATATCTAATAAATGTCATGACTCCATAACAAATAACAAATATAGACAAGGTTGAAAGATGAAAGGAGAAAAGAGGAATTAAAGACATCGGCAATGTTAGATATAACTAATAGCATGAGTAATCTAGAAAAATAAATAAGGTTAATATTGACTCACCAACACATTAGGTGTTTATGTTGAATATAAATCTTCTCACCATTTACAGTTGAACAACATCAAATAGATTACGGTAAAATATTTTTAATTAGACCCATTAAAGATGAAAGAAACTCCTTGCTTCCTTCACACACTGTCAGTGAGTCAAAGCTCATCTACTTAGTAGGGAAAAATCCAACTTTCGACATAATTGGTTTGAACTAAATCAGTACATTTCCTTCAAAATGTGGTAATCGAAGCATGTTGTTCTGTACCCACTTAATTTTTTAAGTTGATCAGAGTTTCTAAGATTTTAACAATCCATGACTTCCTGTTTTCCCTGCTGTAGAAATATAATGCAATAAAGAGGCTCCTGACATTTAGCCCCTCCCATAATCCATAATCCTCTACTTGGATGCAAGCTTAACTTTAATGATCCAGGGGATAAATACATATTTATAGCCCACAGGTGGAGAAATGCAGCAAAGAGACCCGTACTGATCACCTAGTCATCATAGCAACCATTTCATCCCTGTCTTTGACTTAATGAAGGGCTGAATATATATTGGAGAAAAAAAATCTGGTTCTAGCACAACCAGATGATGCAGAAGAGCATCTCTGAACACACAATGTGTGGAACCTTGAGGCGGATGGGCTGCAGCAGCAGAAGACCACAGCTGGCGCCACTTCTGTTGACTGAGAACAGGAAACTGAGGCTACAATTCGCACAGGTTTACCAAAACTAGACAGTAGTTGATTGGAAAAACACCGCCTGGTCTGATTAGACCCTGCCTGCACATTCGGATGGTGGGGTCAGAATTTGGCGCCAACATCACAAAAGCATGGAACCATCCTGCCTTGTTCAGGCTGGTGAAGGTGGTTTAATGATGTAGGGGATATTTTCCTGCTGTCTTTCTGACCACAGTCTGCCCATCTTCTGATGGTGCATTATACTCTTGGAAGAAGCCATCTGGTAGCCAGACTGGTTTCTTAACATGACAGTGAGTTCACTGAACTCAAACGGGAAATTCTGAAGGCAAAGGGGTCCAACCCGGTTCTAACAAGGTGCAGCTCATTAAGTGGCCGGTGAGTCTATACTCTAGTTCGATGTTACAGGAGAAAATAAGTCCTTTTGAAAGCCATTACCAACATATCTACTGGTTGAAACCTTTTACCATAATCGTTTTCTTCCAAAAAAAGGGTTGGGACCTAGCCTAGTAAACTAGCCCAACCCGCCAGCGGCCAAAATCATTTTTGCCTGCGAGTGGTCTGGCCTCAATCAATGCCCCAAGCCCTAGAACTGGCAGGCCAATCACAACGCAGAGATGTGTTTTGAATTTCTGGATGCAAAGCGGGCGGGGTTTTGAGGGCATGACGACAAAGGTGTGACGCTGGAGAAAGCACATCAAGGAAGATGGCAACAATTATTGAACATTTCTCATTTGACTCAGCTTTGGAATCAGTTTTGGAAGGATTAGACCTGGGGTTTTCATTGAAACGTGAGCAGGAAGAGGCTCTACGCTCACTCATTGTTAAGAAGGACGTATTTGCCGTTTTACTGACTGTTTACACTCCCCCACCAGCATTCTGTAGCGCTTATATCGTCACAGTCAGTTGTGCTCATTGGTCAGAGCGTTGGCCAAGAGGCACAGACATGGTTTGAAAAACAACGGGTTGTTCTCATCAACAATCTTCCGATGTCTCATTCATCGGGGCCAGACTAAATTACACATTTAATCTCACATTTAGTCTGGTTTATCAGGCTAGTTAGGACTAATTTTTTCTGTTTGATATTATTCAACAATAACAGATGATTTTGTTGGTATTTACATCATCTTTGATGTGGCTGTTTATACTTAGCAATAACTCTTAACAGCTACTTTAGTTTAATGGTTTGAGGAAATGTCAGGTGTCAGAAGGAAAGCTGCTTTTCCCTGTTTTACCAATTCCATAAATACAGCTTCAATGATTCAGACGAGCCCATCCCATATATCTGTCCAACTGAAGGAGCCTCGTCTCTCTTCTAAATAATTAAAGGAGCTGACTTTCTGCCACCAGCAACACGTGACATGGAATAATACAAATGGATTTTGGCACTTAGCTTATTGAGTGAAGCACTCTGCCAGCCAAGTGCCTTTTAGAGTTTGATGATTGCATCAAACTGTTCGGTAGAGGATCGCATTTCAGATGAAATGACTCTGCTGTGGTTTGTGTGTGTCCAAAGGGGCCCAGCTCCATCACCTCACACAGGTCGGCCTGTCCAGCCGGATGAACGGTTATCCGGCAGGGATCAGGGCCGCTCCTGGCCAGAACGGAGGCCTGGGCTGGAACGATTACCATGGTGACAATTTTTCCAGGATGGAAGCGGAAAAAGACGCAGTAAGTGAACCAGAAATTGTGCTGTTTAGGCCCAGGTCAATTTTAATAAAATTAATTATGCTCAAAAAGTTAATTTATTTCAGTTTTTCATCAAAAAATCAAAACTCAGTGATCATGTAGTTGAATTACACAACATATAATCAATTACAGGTGTTTGTGTTCATAAATTTTAGATGATTCTGGCCTGAGGCTGATGAAAATTCAAAAGGTTGCCTCTCAGGAAAGTGAAATTATAATAATAATAATAAAAAAACTGTTGTTAAGGCCTTCTGGATCACAGCAAGAATTCCGACTTTCAAGTTTGGAGTTTGTTCAAAGGGCTTTATCCAAGCATTCTAATGGAAAGTTCAGTGGAGGGAAAACCTACAACTTAAGAGCTTGAAATAAAGGAATTTTTAGACGATATTCTCATTTGTTAAGATACACCAGTATAGTCCTTCCAATGTTAGTTGTTTATCATTCAGGCATTAAAAAGATCCTAAACTCATTACATTGTTTCTTTCAGTGACTTAATTCCCAAAGAGAAACATAGAATACAGATTTATTATCTGCTTAAGGTTGTAATTTCTTGGCACATTACATCTGAAAGATGTGCCTTGTCCTAACATATTCAGACTGAGATGTTCATGTTAGCAAATTATGTTCAAAGGAACTTCAGAGATAAAGTGGGTATTTCATGGTATTTTGTCGGAAAGTGTATTAAGTTTGTTGTTAAAGGCCTTCAGCTCCTTTAATGCTGTGATTTGATCTTCTTTAACTTCCAGATGCACAGGAGTGGAAGTGGGGAGCCTACAGCCCCTCCTGTCCACTTAGACACTTCAGCCGTGGCGTATCTGTCTGCTCCACAGCCCTTGGAAACATCTCCTCCAACCCACTCCTCTGCCTCCCTGATCAAGGCCATCAGGGAGGAGCTGCTGCGTCTTTCCCAGAAACAGGCAGCCGTGTCCAGCTACCACGGCTGAATCTGGGCCTCATGCCTTTAACCAGTCTGTTCACTGAAGGTTCCTCTCTGCTTGGCTTCACCTGACGATGCTTCCCATGGAAGCTCCTGTAGCTGACCAGCAGAGAAACTGTCCCGTTAAACTGAAGAGGAGCTTCACCGATTCACTGAAAAAATAAAATGAATGGCAACAAAATACATCCACTAAGAGGCAGTGTTATAAAACGGACATTTGGACTTCCTGATCAGGTGGAATAAATCCAATCTGCGTCTGCAGCAGAACCACATCCAGGACTGTATTCCTTCAGACTGTTCAGCGTCATGTTTATTATATAAAGTATTTTCTTCAGAAATGTTTTAGTGTATTTTCATCACTACACTGGATGTATAGTTTTTCTCACTCCATCCCCGTGGCCGTAACTGACTGTTTTCAAATAATCACTTATAAACATGGCTTAAATTATCCAAATAGGCTCAAATATAAACACTCCCACTGATACTGGTTTGACGTCCCATCGGAAGCTAAACCCTCCATTCTTGTCGTTGCCATCTTCAAGATTCTGGAATTCCTCTCATGCTTCTTACCAAATTAGTTTCAGTTCTTTCACAGACCGGGTTTTAACCCACAAAGTTTGGACACAGTTTTTCGGTTCTTTCCATGTTTTTTTGTCTTAGCTTGTTTTATCTGTCCCAAGCCGGTTCTGATCTGCTTTTTGGGGCAATGATCTCAAAAGCAGGACAAACAAGGCTTCGTTTTAGTTTGTAACACAGTACCATATTCCAAACTCACCTCTCGCTACAGCCGCCCCACATTCTCAGTAATTAAACCCAGTAAAGTCAACTGTAGTAAATCACATATTGCAGCAAAATTAACTAGTCTGCATTCACAAAACAACCACCTTTTAAGAACAATTTAAACTGTAGCTGATAGTCTCCACTTGTACCAGAATTCAACATTGCTATCAAAACATTTTTTTGCTTCCTCTCACAATGTGTTATTTATTTAATGCATTTCTGAAACGTACCCCCATGTTGCTACCACCATGTTTGACACTTGCTTGTCTTACTTTTTACATTTTTTTCCTTGTCACCTGGACCCAACAGTTAAATATTTGCCTTTTCTGATCAGAAAATGTTCCTAAGAAAATGTAGTGCTCTTCCATCTGGGCAGCTGTTTATTTTTTTGTTTTTGTTTTAAAGCAATATCTCAGTTCAGGCCTCTGAACTTTTCCATGGAGTCCATTTTTGCCCCTTCTCTCTTTCCTGTCATTGAATCATAAACTCTGATCTTAACGGACGCAGTAAGGCTTAAAAAGCTTCATCGGTTGTTCCGTATCCTACTTTGACCTCTTGGATGAATTAACCTCTTGGAGTCATTTTGGTGAACCAGACACTTAGGTTAAGGTTCTGCATTGTTCCTTGTGTGGGTCGCGGTTCTTCCCCTCCAGGCTGATGGAGCTCAGTCACCATTTCTCATTTGTCGCTACATTGAACCCTACTGTGACATGGTGTTGTCTTTTTTTAACATTTTAGATCAAACACATCACGTCACGTTGGTTTTGTGTCATTTTTCTCCAACAACCAAATTTGTAAGCTGTATTTTCTGTTTATTCAGGTTATCTCTGAAACCCCTAAGAACCCGTGACTCTTTCTAACTGCTGTTAACACATTTGAGCCTGTGTCCATACATTTAACCCGAGGATATACATTTTAAAGTGATGCATTCAATTCCTTTTTTTGTATCTCTGAACATTTCTGTTGTATTACCTGACCACGGTGGAGAAAAGGGGTCGAATTCCTCATTAAAAGCCCAACATTAAATGATATTCATGTCCATGATGGAGTGGTAAACCGTATGTATCACCTTACAGTAGTAGCACTCCTTTTGCATTCCGCCATGATTTAACCAAGGCTGCCTTGACACTGTGATGTCGACCATTGGACCATCTACTGTTAAAACCTGGAGGAACACCACAGTTAGGAACCAGCAAGCCAGTCAGGATCACAGTATGGCTTCCATTCATGATCAAACTGAACATTTCTTCCTGCAGTATAACTGTTTTTGTTTTTGGATCCAATAAGTTTCTTTTTTTGGTGTTGATGTTTTCATGCTGTATTTAATATCTAATGGACTAGTACTCTCACGGCCTTGAAATCAACCTCCAAACATAGTTTTTACAGCTGGTTTTGCAAATAGCTGCTAATGTATACTTGACATGTATAACTGTACGTATTGAGTATTTGGCTGTAACTTGATGCACTGTTTGCAGACTACTTACTGCTCTGGTTTTTCCAAAAGAGATTCTTTGCAGGAAAAGTTGAAAGGTCATGTGAAGGACTTGCAGAGAAGCGTGACAGGCAACTTTTCTGTGTTAACTGTATATTGGACGATCAGCTTTTATTCTTACAGTATTTAAAGTCTGTTCTGCCTTTTTTTTTTAACTGTCTTGCTACTTTTTATCATTTTTTTGCTTTTTAAATGTTCTGTTTATTTTGCCTCATGTGATCATGTTTACTTGATTTATTCTTTTTTTTTAGCTTTAAAGATCTTAAAGTATTCAATTTTTCGATGTCTGAACATGTTCTTTCCAGGAACCTGAGGTGGTAACTTATTGAACTGCAATAAAAGAAGGAAACATGGACTTTTAAAGCAGGACTTGATGGCATGTTTGTAGAGGGTATAGCAGTGTTGCATTGTGGGATATAGAAGCTTCCTGCCATGATCTGTGCCCCTGTGATGTGCCTGACCTGAACTGGTTAGAGTACAGAGCAGAACATCTCACTCACCGTCTTACATGTAAATCCTGTTTTTATAAAATCGAATAACCACCAGGAAGCAGTCTAGATATGCAGGCCGTTGTTCTATGAAGCCTTTTCTTATAAAGTGTGATAAAGTGATGGAAAGGCAGTAACATCACAATCCTTACTACAAGTTCTTGTTGTCTGTTTTGCATCCCTGTGCATGCTTTATGCCATCAATCAGACGCTATGCCTCCATCTTCTACACCTGTACTGTAACTACATTTCATAGTTCTACGTTACTTTATGTCTTTGATTTTGTTGCTTTTCTGCAATGTAAAATACGATGTGTTGGCTGGCCCAACTTTAAGTTTGATTCTTTTTGCATGTTCACTGGTTGAATTTCTCCTGGTTTTTGTTTGCATGCTGTTTCAAAAAATATTGAAAATAATACAAATAGAAAAAAAAGAATGTGTCTGTGGATTATATGTGCCAATACTGAACAGCATTACATCTGAGTTTATCTTCTGGTGCATCACTGAGTTAGAAAAGCATTAAATGGTGAAACTTGTTTATTATATACATTTTTATTTTACACACACAATTCTACTTTTTAAGCTTGTTATTGCCAATAATTTTGGCTTACAGCTGAAGGAAATTCCACATTCAAATGTTTAGAATTCACACACAAAGGAAAACGTTGCATTTAGAAATATTAGGACATCATGATCTACATAAACATTAGAGAAAACACCCTTAATGAAGAAGGATAAACCACAAATGTTCACCAACACCTGCATCTAAGCATATTAGAAAGTTTAGCGGAAGGAACATGATGCACAGCCAAAGAGAAATAAACTCATTCTTGAGAGATTTATGACCCAAAACCCCTTTGAGAGTTGTGGTGGGATGTAGACTGCAGGTGGACTTGGAAATTAAAGAGGAATCACTCACATATATTCATTGTACATAGAAACCAGCGATCACGCTGTATTCAAGCCTTTTCAAACCTGAGCTGAAAGCCCTAAGGAAAATAATAACTGGAGTGTTGCTTGGTGGCCAAATTACTGTTTTTGGATTAATTAATGATTTAGTTTTTTTTTTTTTTTTAATCAGTGTTGATGGGGCCTTAATTCATGTTACTAGGGATTAACATTATGTTTTCACTTGCAGAAAAGACTTAACGATCCATATTATCTGCTGGTCTATTAAACCACTGTTTCATCAGGTATAAAGTCAGAGCAGCTGTCAATCATCTATAGAGCAACCTTGGCTTCCTGAAAACCTTAGTAGAACCATGGGCTGATGCTGTATTCATGAAAAAGGAGCCCTGACAAACTGCTGAGTGTAGAAGCTGTACAAATAGATGGGCATATGTTCAATAGGCCCACATATGTATATGAAATAATTGCATTATTTCCCTGACGTAACATTCCAAACTCTGAGAAGATAAACTTGGGTTTTAATAAGTGGTAAGTTTTAGTAATCAACATTTTGAAAAAAACAGTAATCCCTCTTTGTAAATGTAATTTATTATATATGAGTTCAACATTTTAAGAGGATTTAGTGAAATAGCTTTTCCAAAGTTATCCAAAAAGAGATGGTCGGTTTTGTACTTGATACAAAGAGCCAGCAGGGGTCAGCATATTCCAAGAAAATAAACCAGTGCCATAGCTGTTCTTGCTGCACATGCTAACAGAAATTACTCAATGACTTTTATTGTAGTTTGCCTTCAGTATAACATTTAGTCAGTCAGATGTCCTCCATGTTTTATATCAGTATTCCTGCACCAATAACTTTTAAAAAAAGCAACATTGTTGCCTATTATGATTCATATAATTATAAGGCAATAAACACCTCCATTTGTATTATATGTTGCTTTTTTCCCCCTATTGTAATTAACTAAAAATAAATCCTTTTACCTTGATGTTTATTTGTTTTCTGTTTCGCTACATATGTTGGAAAATGGTGAGAATACAAAATGAATTTCAGAGGGAAAAAAAGATGGATCTGTCCGTATCAACATCTATCAAAAGTTGCTTGAGCTCCTTCTTTATGAATGTTTGTTGATGACCTGGATTCTTGAGCCAGATGCGAGAATTTCTTTCTTTCTTTTTTATTTATGACTTTCTTTCTTTGTATTTTATAAAAATCTAAAGAAAACAATCTGTTATCCTTTTTTATGCCATTGTATTACTACTTCAGGGAAAAAGTTACTTTTCCTCGAACGATAAATGCATGCATTAGCTATTCATCAGCCATGCCTTGAGCAGTGTAGGATTAAGGGTCTTTGCTCAGAGACCCAGAGTGGCAGTCTGTGGGAGTGGGGCTCAAACTCAGAACTCCAAGCTCTATGCCCTAACCACTAGGCTGCCACTCCTCTTATCTCTGCATTATATGTGTGCATGTATTTCGACAGATTTTAATATATTTTGAAATATATATATATTTTTACTAATGCAATGTAAACATGGATATTTAGACATAGACTGATTACTCACAGTGTTATGTTTCAGCCAATTAGTTATGTTAACTTAGCTGGTAAAAACCGTAAGCCCCCCTCTGAAAATTATATATTTAAATTAGAGATGCACAGGTACAGTTTTTTTTCCAATCCATTCATATACATACACAAATTGATTATTAAAATTGATCAAATGTAATTATTTATGTATGATTTCACTGAAGACTCCTAGATGACTTTCACTTTATCCTAAATAACACAAAATCTACTTCTGAAAAGAGCATGAATTGTCATCTTTAATGTTAGTATACTGATGTGAATAATTAACATATTGTTTTGTTGTCAAGTAACTGTTAATATATTAAAAATTAAAATGTTTCGAATATTCCACTTGAGATTATTAGTTCTGTCACAGTGGGGGTGGAGGTTTGACAGGACTCAAATGTAGACAAAAGCTTGAGGTGGTTACTTGAGTGTTTAATTAACCAAAAGTTCAATAAAAGCAAAAATCCAAAACATAAATCCACAAAAATCCAAAAAATGCTCAAAACCAAGAATACTCACAACAAGAAGGGGACAAAGTAATGACGAC